TAGGCTTTAGGCTTTAGGCTTGAGGGCTTCTTTGAGAAACCGTTGGAGGTCATCCAATGGGATGGGCCTTTTGGGTGGTAGTGAGTGATCGTTAGAGGTAGAGTTGCGTAAGTGCCCCAACTCTTTAGGGACCCAAAAAGGACACAGGCATAAGCATTCTATAGGGATATCCCTACCTTATTGGGCTTCATTATAAGGGGGTTTATATGGGATAGCCCTATCCTAAGTTTTGCTTATGTGCTTTTTTGGGGCACTAAGTAAGGTTATATCTTAGAACTCTACTTGCCACCCTCATAACCCCACCAGCAACTGCCATGAGGCTCCAAGGAAGACCCCAAACCCTAAACCCCCAAGCCCCGAACCCCTAAACCCTAAACCCTCAACCCTAAACTAAGACCCTAAACCGTAAACTCCTAACCCCCGAAACCGAAACCCTAAACCCGCAAGCCCCTAGCCCCTAAACCCCAAAGTGTAGTAGGGCTCCCAAACTCTGAGCGCCGCCCCTTGCCGAACTTGAATCTTTGGCCCCTGCCACTGCCAACCCTAAACCCTAAACCCGAAACCCTAAACCCTAAACCCTAAACCCTAAACCCGAAACCCTAAACCCTAAACCCTGAACCCCAAACCCCAAACCCCAAACCCCTAACGCCCCCGCTCCCTAACCCTCCACGAACACAGCCAGAGCTTCTACGGAGCCCTTATAAGCCCCAAGCCCTAAGCCCTAAACCCTAAACCCTAAACCCTGAACCCTAAACCCTAAACCCTAAACCCTAAGCCCCAAAGCAGACCCTATGACGTGGACGTCAACACGGTGGTCTACAACTACAAGCGCCTGGCGGAGCTGTGGGCACAGGAACTCCAAGAGGGGGGGGGGGGGGGGTTCTTGAAATCATGAAGGGTTCAGGTCCGGGGATAGTTTCGAGGAGTTTCGGGCGAAAGTTTCGGGGAGTCTCTCTTGTAACTTTTATGAAAAAACTCAAGTTGCAGGGTCTTGAATGTTAAGGGTTTAGGATGCTTAACCCTAAATCCTAAACCCTAAACGCTAAGCCCTAAGCCCTAAACCCTAAACCCTGCACCGAAGAAGCGTAGGGATTGTGGGACTTGAGGGTTGTTGATCGTCTGGCACCTCCACCCTGAAAGGCCAGTTCCCAGAACTAGCCCCTGCAGTTTCGGGTGTACGGTTTAGGGGTTTAGGGATTTAGGGGTTTAGGGTTTAGGGTTTAGGCTACAACCCTGAAGCCCCAAACCGTCTAGGGGTTTAGGGTGTTCGGGCAAGGGTTTAGGGGCTTAGGGTCTCGGCTTCGGGGGCTAGGGGTTTACGGCTTAGGGTCTTAATTCAGGGTTTAAGGTTTAGGGTTTAGGGTTAAGGGTTTAGGGCCCTCAAGCTTTCGGGCTCTAGGACCACCTGGACTACTTCTACAAGATGAAGCCCGAAGCCGCGGCTGGGCCATGCCTTTCCCTAAGCCCTAAACCCTAAGCCCTAAACCCTAAACCCTAAACCCTAAACCCTAAACCCTAAGCCCTAAGCCCTAAACCCTAAACCCTAAACCCAAGCTCTACCGAAAAGCCTCAACTGACTATATGTGAAGCTTGGGGTTTAGGGTTAGGCTTCGGGGTTTAGGGTTGAGGGACCCGAAACCCCAGAGGTTGGGTTTAGGATCTAGGGTTTAGGGTTTCTGAAGCCTAAAGCTCTTTTCATCCCAGGTTGCCATGAAGCTGACCGACATGGAGCCGGTCAAGGCGAACTACAACAAGCTCAAGGAAGAACTAGACTGCAAGGACCTCAAGTGGTACTTAGAGAGCCTCGGCATCAGCTCGCGTAGAAGGTGCAGCCCCTAGCATTCGCTAAAACCCTAAATCCTAAGCATTCTATAGCTACCTGGAACTTCACGTAGAGTTCCAACACGCCCTAAATGAATCAGGTTGTAGCTATAGATATTACGCTTTTTACCCTAGTTGTACCGTTTCAAGAACATCTAAACCCTGAACCCCAAGGAGGTCCCCTACACCCCTAAACCCTAAACCCTAAACCCTAAACCCTAAACCCCAGCGTCCGAAGCGATGCCTGGGCATGTTTTCGGGGCCGACCAGGGACCTTTAACCCGAAACCCTAAACCCTAAACCCTAAACCCTAAACCTCAAACCTCAAACCTCAAACCTCAAACCCCTTGAAAACCCTTGAAGCGCTTTTCAGCCCTTGGTTCGGGGTTCGGGGCTTACCCTTTTGAACCTTCAAAGCGCTTAAAACCCTTACACGAGCCCCTTAAATCCAAGAAGCGCACCCTGTCTATTCCTAGGGTTTAGGGTTTAGGGTTTAGGGTTTAGGGGTTACCCTTGGGTCTAGCCTAGGAATGTGGACCACGAGATGGATTGGGAGAAGGACGTGATTTGCCATCCCCATGCCCCGCCCGGGCATGAGATGAAATGCAAAGGCAGCTTGATCCCAGGCTCGGGGCTTTTCAAAGTGGGGAGGGGAGTGGTTAGGTTTAGGGTTTAGGGTTTAGGGCTAGGGTTTAGGGTTCGGGTTTTGGGTTGTGGGTGTTGGTTGTATGGTTCAAGGTTTTCAGGGGAATTTTCCATTGTCTCTGACTCCTAAACGCTGAAAACAGCGCCGAACTCTGGAAACCCGAAAGCCCTAAACCCTAAACTTGCCCTAAACCCTAAATCCTAAACCCTAACCCAATTAAGGGCTTAGAAACCCTGCACTTTGGGGTTTCTACCCGAACCCTAAAACCCTGAAAAAGCCCAAGCCCAGGAAACCCGAAACCCTAAACCCTTTTCAGGGTTCAGGTGGGGGTTTAGCTAGTGATTCTAGGGTTTGAGGGTTTAGCCCAGGGTCCCGTGAGTTTGTTTGAAGAGTGGTTTCCTGCAGCCAGGCACCCAAGTCTTCGAAACTTCGCCCTAGAAACCGAGAACTCCCCACCAAGTAATGGTAAGTTTGGGGGGGTTCAGCTCTCGGAAAATCTTCCTTATTCCGACCCCCTTACCCACTAATAAGTTTGGCAAGGGTTCACCTGACCTAAGCCCTAAGCCCTAAGCCCTCAGCCCTAAGCCCTAAGCCCTAAGCCCTTAGCCCTAAGCCCTAAGCCCTAAGCCCTAAGCCCTAAGCCCTAAGCCCTAAGCCCTAAGCCCTAAGCCCTAAGCCCTAAGCCCTAAGCCCTAAAGGCCCTGAGGCCTAAGCTCTACACCCTAAGCCTTAGCCTCGGGTCTCGGGTCTAGGGTGCCGGCTGGGCTATGGCCCACAGGAGCGCCCGAATCTTCAAGGAATCGAAACTCAACAAAAAACCCTAGACCCTAAACCCTAAACCCTAAATCCTGAATAAACCCGAAACCCCAAACCCTAAACCCCAAACCCTAAACCCTAAACCCCAAACCCCAAACCCCCCAGACCCCAAGCGCTGCAAGCCCTGAGCCCTGAGCCAGGTCGCTGGACAGTCACGCAGACCATCCCAAAGAGCGAGTACCTCCGCCGAGACCGGGGCGCACGAAGCAGCCCCAAACCCCTCAACTAGTTACCATACTTGTAACCCTAAACCCTAAACCCTAAACCCGACATCTGCGTACCCACGAACCCCCAAGTTGCGCCTCGAACAGCACAAGGCTCCAAACCCTGAGGGTCATGCTCTAGCTACCATACTTGTAGCCCTACTTTTAAAATACACCTGAACCTCCAAGTGCACTGCGGGATCCGCTTGGGAGAAGCTGAGGAAAAACGGCCGCCGATGAGAGGAATCGGCTCGCACCAGGCCGCTCCGGTGAGCTCTGAGGCTAGTGGACAGTGTGAGCCTGGGCTTCTAATGGCAACACTGGCATCAACATGAAAAGCCTCCAAAACCTGCGGCCCTAAACCCTAAACCCTAAACCCTAAACCCTAAACCCTAAACCCTAAACCCTAAACCCTAAACCCTCCTCATCCCTGAGGCCCGAACCCTGTAGCGCTTGCCATGCCCGAAGCCCTACAAACGCAACGGCCGGAGTCTGAGCACACCTGGTCAAGGCTCAACCCTAAACCCTAAACCCTAAACCCTAAACCCTAAACCCTAAACCCTAAACCCTAAACCCTAAACCCTAAACCCTAAACCCTAAACCCTAAACCCTAAACCCTAAACCCTAAACCAGAAACCCTAAACCCTAAACCCTAAACCCTAAACCCTAAACCCTAAACCCTAAACCCTAAACCCTAAACCCTAAACCCTAACCCTAAACCCTAAACCCTAAACTCACCTACATGCTAATTAAACCCGACATCCTAAACCCCAAAGCTCCAAAACATCTCAACCTCTAATTTAGAGTTCCGAGCGTCGCTCCAGCGAAAGCCACCTGCAATGCCCTTGGCGCCAAGAGGCTCGAGGAAAAAGGCGCGCGAGCTGGAGGGCCCCCCTCCCCGCCCTCCTCCTCAAGAGAAAGCAGGGTTAAGAGCCGATTAGGGTTTAGGATTTTTTTTTTGGTTTAGGGTTTAGGGTTTAGGGTTTAGGGTTTAGGGTTTAGGGTTTAGGGTTTACCAGTCCCATGTCACGCCATTTGTACATCTCAGGCCCCTGAGTCAAAGGCCTCAAGGATTCACGGCTTGGCTGCAAGGACTCCGAACCCCGAAACTTCCCTAAAGGGGCTAAGGGTGTAGGGTTTGGGGTTTAGAGGCTCGCGTTTAGGGTGCCGGGCATAAATAGGTGGGCTGTGTGTCTTTGCTGTGGGGTCCAGGAAGAAGCCTTTTCAGCCCAAAGCTCAGACACTGTGAAATCCGTAGCCCGCAAAACCCTCAACCCTAAGCCCCAAAAACTTTTGAGGCCCTATACAACAAGACCTCAGCCCACGACACCCTAAAGCTTCAACACCCCAAGGCCTTAAGTTAAATTTTAAACTTTAAACCCTAAACCCTAAGCCCTAAACCCTAAACCCTAAACCCTAAACCCTAAACCCTAAACCCTAAACCCTAAACCCTAAACCCTAAACCCTAAACCCTAAACCCTAAACCCTAAACCCTAAACCCAAACAAGCTCGAGGTTGGAACCCATGGTGGAGGCCTTGCGGCGCACACTGTTTTTGCCCGAGCGGCGGCCTCAAGACCCCGCGGGTTTAGGGTTTAGGGTTTAGGGTTTAGGGTTTGAGGTTTCTCAATGAGTGGGCGCGCTGGTGCTGAAAGCACCCAAGCACGCGCCCCGACCTGCATAAGCCCACCCCCGCTGGCGCTCCACCCTCGCCTTAACCTCTACGGGTTTAGGGTTCTTTTGAACTCTGATCGTGCTTTTGTTATTTCTTTCTTTTCTAATGGTTGGGTTTAGAAGCTCGGCATCGATGCAGATCAATTACCTTGAAGTTCGCAGCCCCTTGGCGTTGCAAGGGATGATGTCATCATTCGAGGGCTTCTGGGAGGGCCAAACAGTCAAAGGTTTGGGACTGTTGGCTGCCTGTCCTGGGTGGGGATTCGGAAAACTTGCTGAGGCAGGGGCCTCCCAGGCAGGGGCCTCCCAGGCAACCCGAGGCCTCTGGTCGACCACGGCCGGAGGTGGGAGGGGCCCTGGGAGACCTCGCAAAAAGAGGTTGCCATGTTTTACCCGAAGGTTTTTGGGGTATCTTATTCTAGGGCGACCTGACGGGTTTCTCGCCAGCGACCTGCCGGGCCCACCGTGCGCAGCTGCGGGCTGCCTCGCCTGCCGGACTTCGGCGCGTTCGCTCTGCTCGACGGCCTTGGGCTCACTCAGTTTAGGGTTCAGGGTTTAGAGCTTAGGGTTTACGGTTTAGGGTTTAGTCTAGGGTTTGGGGTTTAGGGTTGTACCGGTAGGGTTGCACGGGTAAAGGGTATGTAAGGTTTCCGTCTGGGGGTTTAGAAAAGGGTTCAGAGTTTGGGGATCACTGTAGGGAGCTTGAAGTTGTAGATGGCTGGCCGAGGTTGAAGTCGAACCCTAAACCCTAAACCCTAAACCCTAAACCCTATACCCTAAACCTTAAACCCTAAACCCCATAGCCACACGAACCTCAAGCGGCCAGCAGTGCTTGAAGCGAAGATTGGGGACGGGGGGTCATCATTCCCTAGTGGGAACCCTCGACCCTAAACCCTAAAGTCCCTAAAGGGGAGTTAGGGTTTAGGGAAGCGCTGTTGGCTTCGCGACTTAGATTCTCAGAATGTTTTTTGTTTGAGGCATGCCGCTCTAAGGTCCTCCACCTGCCAACCCTGTGAAGGATCCCGGCTCTATTTAGGGCCTCTAGTGCTCAAAGTTTAGGGTTCGGGTTTCGGGCTTCGGGTTTCGGGTATGGACGCCTAAACCCCAAACCCTAAACCCTAAATCCTAAACCCTAAGCCCTAAAACTCAAGCAATTAAAGAGACGTATCGGCCCAGACCTCTGGAAGCCACCGGCGTGCCCACGGTCGCGTTGGAGAAGCCCGGCAGCAATTCTAGCCTGAAGCGCAAAACCCGAAACATTAAGAATCCCTAAACCCTAAACCCTAAACCCTAGCCCTGAACCCTAAACTCTAAACCCTAAACCCCAAAACCTGAACCCTAAACCTTCAACCCGCAGCCCTCCCACACGCCCGAACGCCATAACCGCGGGTTTAGGCTGCGGCATGCCCAGAGGGACCGTCAAGCCTTTTGATTAGGGTTTAGGGTTTAGGGTTTAGGGTTTAGGGTTGAGGGTTGAGGGTTGAGGGTTGAGGGTGAAGCCCAGACCCTAGGCCAGTTGCAACTAGAGACCCAGACAAAAGACAGCCGTCTCGACATCCAGGCCCAAAACCCAAAACCCTAACTCTAAACCCTAAACCCCAAACCCCGAACCCCGAACCCCGAGCCCCAAACCCCAAACCCCAAACCCCAAACCCCAAACCCTAAACCCTAAACCGAAACCCTAAACCCTAAACCCTGAACCCTGAACCCTGAACCCTGAACCCTGAACCCTGAACCCTGAACCCTGAACCCTGAACCCTGAACCCTGAACCCTGAACCCTGAACCGCAACGTCATGTCGGCCCACCCTGCCACCCGGCTCTGCCCAGGAACGCCGTCCGGGCGCTGCAGAAGGTGGTTCGCACCCCAGTCTCCAAATCCAAACACTCAACTTCGTCCGGGGTTTAGGGTTTAGGGTTTGGGGTTTGGGGTTTGGGGTTTAGGAAGCTCTAAACCCGAACACCAAACTTCCAAAACTTCTGTAATATCTCGAAGACTGATCTCCTGCATCCTATGCAGGGTTTAGGGTTTAGGGTTTAGGGTTTAGGGTTTAGGGTTTAGGGTTTAGGGTTTTGGGATGCCCTAAGCCACACACTGCCTTCCCTTGGGTCCTTTTAAGGTTGCCGACTCGTGGTTCTTCAACACCCGGCAAGCACAACAACCTCTCTAAGGGATTCGGGTTTAGGGTGTAGGATTTGGGGTTTAGGGTTTAGGGTTTAGGGTGCAGGGTTTGGGGTTTAGGGTTTAGGGTGCAGGATTTGGGGTTTAGGGTTCGAGTTGTCTCAACCTCGATGTTTTTGGGGTACGTTTTGTACTCAATACCTGACGTCCTCGTGAGCTTTGCGCGATGGTGTCCTCTGCCCCCTACAAACCCTAAACCCTAAATCCCTAGCCCAAACACTGAACCCCAAACCCTAAGCCCTAAACCCTAAACCCCAAACCCTAATCCTCAACCCAACTGCCCAAGGCTCCTTCCGCCCCCCTGCGGGACGGCCTCCGCCGATGCGTCGTCTGTGGCGCCGCGTTCGCCACGCCGTTGGGGCCCCTTTGTAAACCGTTTAGGGTTTTTGGTGTTTTTTGGCTTTGGGCTATTTGATTGGGTTTGGGGATAAAACCTAAACCCTAAATTCCCTACCAACCCTAACCCCCCAAATATAGGGCACAGCCCCCAACATGGTAGGCAATACGTAGAGCTTGCAATGAAATTCCCTTCCATGCCCTCAGTCTCTCCCCTGCGCTTGTCGGTGCACAGTGTGGTTCCCGAAAATCCGGATACCCGGATACCCCTATATGACATACACCCCAAATTTTTTCATACCCAAATTATCGGAACCCCCCAACAAAGGATACCCCTACTTTGGGAAACCCGCCATGTCTCTGCCCAGCGTCTTCCAGAGGGCATTGTCGTCGATAGTCGATACTGGGGGGATGTTTTGGTATTCAAGCAGGATGGGGGGAGGTGAGGGGTTTTAGACCTGAAGTCCTTAACCCTAGTTCCGCTCGAAGCGCTCGAGGTTGAGGATGCGCGACCACCTGCGCGGACGGAGGCACTGCACGGCCGGCTGCTCAAATTTGAGTGCCTGAGATTCGGGGTGCTGCGCTTTGGGTTTAGGAGCGTCTCAGGGTTAAGGATAGGTTGAGGGCTTTAGGCGAACATGTAAAGTGGCCATAGTGAGGAAACTGTTATTGTTATTGGTATTGTCTTATTGTTATTGTCATTGTCATAGTTTTTGCTATTGTTTTGCTATGGTTGTTTTTTGTGTGCGATTTGCACCTCTATGGCATCTACATTCTGGTAACCTAGTGTAAGTTCCTTGTCTTCAGGAGTTTACGGTTTAGGCTTTGGGTTGTATGTTGCTGGGGAGTTGGGGGGGGGGTGAGGGTGTTCCTTTTATTGCATCTTGTCTGACTCGATGCCTTGTCTGCTTGACGTTCAACATTAATATCCTGGTCTGCTTGACCCAAGCCTAAACCCCCAAGCCCTGTCTAAGCATCGAGCCCCCTAAGCCTCCACACCCCTAAATCCTAAACCGCAAACCGCTGAGCCCCTGAACCCTAAACACTAAACCCCCAGCTCCAAACCTCTAAACCCTAAACCCTAAACCCTAAACCCTAAACCCTAAACCCTAAACCCCTAACCCCTAACCCCTAAACCCTAAATCCTAAACCCTAAACCCTGAACCCACTGCGACGATCTGCGCAACTTTACTACATCGCGGGGCTGAGGCTGTCGCGTTGCAACACTTCCGTGAGTGTGGCGCTGCAGGCACGCAACTTCCCTAGCTAGGGCTGGGGTTTAGGATTGAGGGTTGAGGGTTGGGGGTTGAGGGTTGAGGGTTGGGGGTTGGGGGTTGGGGCCCAACGCGGTTTAGGGTTGTAGGCTCGAGGGTCAGGGTTTAGGGTTTGGAGGAACTCTCCAGAAGAAGCTGCCGTCCTGCACAGTTTTCCCACACATCAAAACTGACAGGACTGCCTTGGCCCCCTAAGGTTGTACCCTTGGGACCCTTCTTTCAAGATTCTCGAAGGCAAAAAACAGGTGCACAGGAGGAGTTTACAGATGATTAAGAAACCTCTTAGGGGTACATGAAGCAGGGTATATATTACTGTTATTGGTGAGTGTATATAAGGTTCCTTTTTTAATATTGGTGAGTGTAGATACCGGGTGTCCTTTTGGGGGTACAAGAAATATATACCATACTTCACATCAGGTCCGAGTCTGACTCCCTTGACCAACTCCCCCCCAAAACGGACAGGGAGCTGTGTGCAAAGAAGGCCGCCAAAAGCCCAACATCCTTAGCGGCCTTGGGGTTCAGACGCTGGAGGCTTAGGGGCCTTAGAAGCCCTTGTGCGTGTTGTACGGGGACACGCTAAGCCCCAAGCCCTAGACTGGCTGCCAGGTTATGCAGGTCATCCTGCTGTCGATGATGCCGAGGCGACCCCGATAGTTTAACCATGTCGTTTCGGCATTCGCCGGGGTTTTAGGAATTAGCCATCAGGGTTTAGGCATCACTTTGAAACCATGTAAGCCCCGTGCAAAGACTCAACAGCTTCAGATTCGGTCATTTCGGATGTCTTGCCGCCGTTTCCCGTGAAACCCGGCCCAGTGAATCACCGGGGGCGAAACATTTCCCACTGCACTCTGACGATTGCAGAGGTATCTCTGCAGATCTCTGCATTCCTTGGAGTCTATCAGGTGTCTTAGGACTTAGGACTCTTCAGTTTGACCGGCTCGTTCAATCTTGAAAACCCATGAGACCACGCGCGCCCTCAAGCCCACAACCCTAATGACTCTAAGAGCCCGAATAAATGTTCCAAGAACAGGCCGTGAGCCTGTCCTGCACAGGCTCAGCGAATCTTCACGGCCTTTAGCACAACGCCGCTGTGCGGGCCCAGGGCAGTTCGGCCCGAAGCCCGAAGCCCTAAACCCTAAACCCTAAACCCTAGCCCTTAGCCCCAAGACAAGCCCTCAGCCGCAAATCCCTGATCGCTAGAGTTCCAGACCTATACTTCCCAAAACAACCTCACACCTATAAGCCCTGTAAACCTTACTATCATCCTTGTACATAAAACCTTACGAAAAACCTTATCAAACCCTATAAGGCCCCCCCAGGTCACACTGCTCGGCCGAGCCACCGGATGTCGCGCTGGTGATGCTCAAGCGCGAGGGGTCGGGGCCCAAGTCCGGAGGACTCTGGCGTGCTTCTTGTTGAGCTTCGGGTTTGGCGTTTAGGGTTTGGGACGTAGGGTTTCGGTTTTAGGGTTTAGGGCCTAGGACTGAGGCGTTCAGGGCTTGGGGGCTTGAGACTTAGGGGCATATTTTGTGGGGGTCCCTGTGGTCCCTCAGGTTGAGAGTATGGGCCTGGGCCCCTTTGAGTGTGGCCCTTGAGGTAGGTGCATGTCCTCGGTATCTGGTATACAAACACCATTAAAGTTAAGGGCCCATATTTCCGAGCTGTAAAGGGTGGATTGTTGGGGTTGTTGGGTTTTGGGAGTATTTTGTTGGCTTCTCGAGGACTGTTCGCGGGCCGCAGGGCAGAGAACACTTAAAGGGTTTAGGATTTCGGGTGCCACTCGCACAACTTGGGCCTTTTGCTGTTCTTGGATTAGGTGTCTGGGTGGGCACGTTTTTTCCTTGTTCGGAGGTCCTGGGCTCGGGTTTAGAGATTGGAGTTTGGGGTTTGCGGTTTCGGGCGTGCCCAACACGATGGTACTGTTGATAGACCAATTGCGGTAAGTATCTTGTTTGGTTGCGCCGTTTAGTTTTAGGCCGTAAAGCCAAAAGCACAGACCTAAATTCGAGCCAACTCATAAATCCCAAATCCAACCCCTAAACCTTACAACCCCAATTTCAGGCCTGAAAGGCAGCGGCTGTAGCGCCACAGCAAGCAAGCCGAAAGCTATGAACTCCCCAAATCCCAAATCCGAAATTCCTAAAATCCCAAGCCCTCTAAGCCCTAGCCTGATCACTTCAAGTGAATTGTGGCGCCAGGCTGCTTCAAAAGCCTAGTGAGGGCACGGATGACGGGGCGGCGAAGAGCAGCCCCGAAAAAGAATGCACCGATGGGGGCGCTGGGGTCCTTTTGGGCTGGGCTGTATGTCAAGTTTAGGGTTTAGGGTTTCGGTTTAGGGTTTAGGGTTGGGGTTTAGGGTTTAGGGTTTAGGGTTTAGGGTTTAGGGTTTAGGGTTTAGGGTTTAGGGTTTAGGGTTTAGGGTTTAGGGTTTAGGGTTTAGGGTGTAGGGTTTAGGGTTTAGGGTTTAGGGTTTAGGGTTTAGGGTTCAGTCCACGGACTTCTTTTTGGATCCCGGAAGGTGGCGCCCTTGGGTTGGGAGACCCTTTTAAAGATCCTTAAGGTGATAGACGGGCCTGTTAGGAGCATACCTGGGTTTAGGGTTTAGCGTGTAGGGTTTAGGGTTTAGGGAAACCTCTAGGGAACCGAGGGGGTGCGAGTCGTAAATCCCTTGGCTGTCATGGCGTTGCAGGAACACGGGGCCATGAACATGTGCTTTTCAGTCTCCCCTGCATGTGGTCTAGGGTTTAGGGTTTAGGGTTTAGGGTTTAGGGAGATTTCGAGGGCTTCAAGGTTTTCGAGCAACGGTCTTACTTCGTAGCTCCTTGAGCGAAGCACAAAGAGATGACTCCCGAACCTTGGCCTTTAGGGTTTAGGGTTTAGGGTTTAGGGTTTAGGGTTTAGGGTTTAGGGTTAAAGTTTAGGGCTTAGGGTTTAGGATTTCGGGTTTCGGGTTTCGGGTTTCGGGTTTAGGGTTTAGGGTTTAGGGTTTAGGGTTTAGGGTTTAGCACAAAGAGATGACTCCCGAACCTTGGCCTTCCACGCTGTTGAGAGTTGGCTCTCCAATGTTGTTGTGAGGGCATTCCGAGCTTTAACCCTAAACCCTAAACCCCCAAACCCCAAACCCTAATCCCTAATCCCTAAACCCTAAACCCTAAACCCTAAACCCAGCCAAGCTTATTTTTGGGAACTTCGGCTCGGGAGGGTCCGGCCACACATCCAGCGGCGAAATCATGTTCCAATCATTACGCCCCTTTTCGCGGTTTAGGGTTTAGGGTTTAGGGTTTAGGGTTTAGGTTTAGGGTTTTGGGTTTAGGGAAACCATCCCCTTCCTCAACGCATGCAGGTGCTTGTCGAGATGAGGCGAAGCTTCCTGTGCTCCCGCCTGGAGTGGGGCCACCCAGACAGAGCGAGCCGGAGGGGGTCCAATTTAAACCCTAAACCCTAAAACCCTAGACCCTAGACCCTAGACCCTAGACCCTAGACCCTACTACAGAACGTAAACCCGAAGCCCCAACCAAACCCTGAAGCCTAAGACTCTCCAGCGCCTGGCATCCTCTGCAGGGTAGAGCTTGGGGTCTCTAGGGTTTCGAGGGTGTTTCGCCGCATGGCAGGGTTTGGGGTTGAGGGTTTAGGGCTTGGGGGTTGGGTTTAGGGTTTTTACCAATGCCAAGAGCCTCCTCCAGCACCCAACGTGGGCCACAAAACTTCTGACTTCGCAACAGACATGCAACGCAGTCCCAACAGAGCGCTTCAAATTAATTATTTTGCTTCGAACATCCCCACCTTCAGGGAGCCTCCTGGGGTTGGGCATTTCAGGGAATCTCTGAATTTGGGCACTCCAGGGAGACTCTGGGGTTGTGCACTCCAGGGAGACTCTGGGGTTGGGCTCTGGGGTTGGGCTCTGGGGTTGGGCATGACTCTGGGGTCGGGCACTCAGGGAGACTCTGGGGTTGGGCACTCCAGGGAGTCGTCTGGGGGCACTCCCGGGCACTCCAGGCAGTCTCTGGGGTTGGGCACTCCAATAAAGTCTCTGGGGGCACTCCAGGCAGTCTCTGGGGTTGGGCACTCCAGGCAGTCTCCAGGAGTAGACCGGGCGAGGAGAAGAGTTCCGGGCGACTACCAACCCCACACCGAAGGTGGGGAAAAATGTGGACATCGTGGCAGAGGCAGGCGCAGGAGATCACGGCAGACCAGTCGATGATCCTAACGACTTGGGTGATGAACCAATCTACCGCTAACATCAGCGTGCTTTGGCAAAGGGAGAACAACCATGCAAAGCGCGCATGCGCTGCCGCCAGGAGGGTTTGGGTTTTCGGGTTTTGGGTTTGGGGTTTAGGGTTTAAGGTTAAGGGTTTAGGGTTTAGGGTTTGGGGTTTAGGGTTTAGGGTTAAGGGTTTAGGGTTTAGGGTTTAGGGTTTAGGGGTTTAGGGTTTAGGGTTTAGGGTTTAGGGTTTAGTTCCATCCCAAGCGGCCCTAGCACCTCGGGCACGCTAAACGCCAGGTGCGAGCGCCTGCTAGGCTCGCCGCCCCGCCTGGTGCCCAGCGCTGCAGGTGCCCCCCCAGGGATTTTGGTTTTGGGCTTAATACCCTAAACCCTAAACCCTAAACCCTAAACCCTAAACCCTAAACCCTAAACCCTAAACCCTAAACCTTGAGGTTTAGGGTTCGGGTTTAGAGTTTTTTGGGGGTCTCGGGATTGAGGGAGCTCAGGGACTTCAGGGGGTTTTAGAAGTTTAGTAAGTTTTAGGTGTTTCGGGAGTTTAGGAGTGAGGAGTTTGGGCAGTGTGGTCTACAAAGATGTCAGGGTTTTTAGGGTGGTTGAGGATTCAGTTGCTCCGACTCACCATGAAAGTTGAAAAGAACGAGACTTTGCAAAAACAAGTTACAGGCTGACTTTCCCACTTGTAGTATCATTCTTGCAAGATGAAATTGCGAGGCCTTGTTCAGTATTCCGTGCGCTCTACAGAAACCTGTTCAAGTTTCGGAAGTTTCGGAAGATGTTGCAACTGATACAGAGCGCCCAACATACATGTGGAAGGTTTGGAGAGGTGAGGGTTGCGAATGCTTTCGAGGCGGTTCTGAAGGTTTTGGGGGGTTCGGGTGAGGGTTTAGGGTTGAGGGTTTAAGGGTCTTTGGGCGATGCTGACTTTGAGGGTGGCTGATACCTTTTTGCCTTCTGCCCTCACCCTCATTTACTACTTTGCTTCAGACTGATTCAGAACCCCCCAAAAAACAAAGATGTTAATCCCTAAACTTGCCCTTATGAGGCAGAATCTGTTTTTTTTTTTTTGGGGGGGGGGGGGGGGGGGGTAATTAAGCACAGAGCAGTGTAGGGGGGGTGAGCGAGCTTCAAGGGTTCGGCGGCCGGGGGTGGTTGAGCTAGGGAAGAGTCCGCATGAAAAGTCTCCCCTGGGATGTTCCCAGTCCTGAGTTAGTATCCCCAATTATAATCTCATTAAGGAGTGTTAGTATAAGGGGGAGCATCTCAAAGTCTCTCCTTCAGGGGTTGTTTCCACAAAAAGCCAATCTTGACAAAAGGAAAAGCCAGCAGGGAATTGGCAGAATGAGCCTGTCTCATTCATAGAATGAGCATGTCTCATTCGGCACACATTCGCTGTACCATTATGGGTTTGGGCTTATGGGTTCAGGGTTGCCCTGCTTCGGGGCTGACAGAATGAGCATGTCTCGCGCGCCAAACCGTGGAAGAGCCACAGGATTTTGACTCGTACCCTTAAGGTTGTACCTCTTCAGGTTTCCCTTGGTTATATCCTTACAATGGCCCAAAACCCCAGACCCCAAACCCTAAACCCTAAACCTTCGAACCCTGAACCCTGAACCCTAAACCCTAAACCCTAAACCCTAAACCCTAAACCCTAAACCCCAATCACAACAAAAAGAAGGGTCCCCAAACGCAAGGGTGCAACCTTAGGGGCCCAAGGTAGAGTCCCTTGAAAGAGTGGAGTGGCATTTTTGCCAGCCCGAAGTCCCCAAGGGTTTAGGGTTTAGGGTTTAGGGTTTAGGGTTTAGGGTTTAGGGTTTAGGGTTTAGGGTTTAGGGTTTAGGGTTTAGGGTTTAGGGGACCCAACACCCCGACACGCCAAAGTCCCTAAGAGCCAAATGAAACCCAAATCCCGAAGCCCCATCCGTGAGCCATTTAGCCCCCCAAAGCCTGTAAGCTCAGCCGGAGATACCGGAGCTTCGGGGAACCTTCATGGCGCGGGTTGGAAGGCCGGGCGGGCCCGCTCCAGCTGATGCTCATGATGCTCGGAGGGTCTGAAAGCCCGGGCCAGCTCCAGCTAATTCTCTTGATGTTTGGTTGTTTGGGCGTGAAAGCCAGCCTACTCAACCCTAAACCTTAAACCCTAAACCCTAAACCCTAAGCCCAAAGCCCTATGCAAACCTTGGATACCCCTGGCAGGTACTCCGGTGCCTCGCCCGCTGAGCCAGCCAACTGCCCCGCCGACGTCGCACGAGGGCGCGCGATTAGGGTTTAGGGTTTGGGGTTTGGGGTTTGGGGTTTAAGGTTTAGGGTTTAGAGTTTAGGGTTTAGGGCTTAGGACTCCCCGAGTTGAAGCTGCGCTAAACCCCTGGAAGTCCTCCCTGTTGGGTCGGTGTGGGCGGTGAATGCTTTTTCTTGTTTTGAAGCTTGTCTTCCTTGGTTCAGGGTTCAGGGTTTAGGGTTTAGGTTTTGGGGTTTAGGGTTTAGGGTTGGCGTGGCCCGTGCAGCCTGGGATTTTCGGAGCTCGTTTCCCCGAGTCTCTGCTTGTGTTGCCTCCACGCCCGGGACCCTTATTCGGGGTTATTTAGGGGCTACTTCGGTCTATACCCCTTAAGACGCGTCAAACCCCGAACCTTGAAGAGGATGCCCCAAACCCCTCACACCCCGAACCCAAAAGCGCAAAGCGATTCCTGAACCCCAAACTCACCTCGAGGCCTAAGCAAGCCCCCAACATCCAATCCGAAACCTTACACAAAGCCCCAACTCCACATCCCAAACCTCAAAATTCACAAGCACACCCTAAACCCTAAACCCTGACCCTAAACCCTAAACCCTATCCCCCAAAGCCCAAACCCCAAAACCCCCAACCCTAAACCCTAAACGCTTAACCAAGCCCCAAACCCTAGACCCTCATCAAACCCAAGTCCTAAAACCTCAGCTCCACCTTCAACCCTCAGCCCTGCCAGAGCAAGACCAAGTACCTACTATGGACTTTAAGGGGTTTAGGGTTTAGGGTTTAGGGTTTCGGGCTTAGGGTTTAGGGTTTAGGGTTTGGGGTTTAGGGTTTGGGGTGTATTGAGGGTACAAGGCTCAGGTACCCTGAAACCCGATAAACCACAAAACCCGAAGTGCCAGGGCAATCCACCGAGAGCAGGGATCACAGTGCTGTGCCGGCCTCATCTGAATCCCCTCGCGGGCTGAGGGTTTTAGGGTTTAGGGCTTAGGGTTTGAATTTTGTTGGCGTTGCTTGGGCTTTGGGGAAGTTCTTAGGTTTAAGGTCTTTGGCGCTTGGGGTATCTATCATGGCATGTTCGGGTCCCCAAAGTTGGGATTTCCTATGGTTAGAGTGCAGGACCGTAGGCTTTTGGAGGTGTTTCCTGCACCCTGAACCCGAATCCCTAAATCCTGAACCCTAAATCTTAAACCCAAACCAGTTGCTTTGGTGTGTTCTTTTCACACGTAGACCCCAGACCCCAGCAGCCTTACAGGACCTGCGTCTCCACGCTAGAACCCGAAGGGTTTAGGGTTTAGGGTTTAGGGCATTCATGAGAGTTTAGGCTTTGGGGGATGTGGTTTAGGGTTTGAGGCTACGGGGCGCTCCTAAACCCTCACCTTGAAACCCTAAACGCAAACCCTAAACCCTAAACCCTAACCCTTCAAACCCTGCCTCAAAGCTTTTTTGGGGACAGGTACTAACCCTAGACCCTAGACCCTAGACCCTAGACCCTAGACCCTAGACCCTAGACCCTAGACCCTAGACCCTAGACCCTAACCCTAAACCCTAAACCCCAAACCCTAAACCCTAAACCCCAAACCCCAAACCCGAAACCCTAAACCCTAAACCCTAAGCCCTGAACCCTGAACCCTAAACCCTAAACCCTAAACCTTAAACCCTAAACCTTATAGGTTTTTTGGGACGAGCCACTGCCACCTGTGATCGAGGCGCCGGCGGCCGCACCCGCTGAGGCACTGCCTCTCTGAACCGGCAGACGTTGACCTAAGCAAAGGAGTTTAGGGTCTTGGGGTTTAAGGGTTTAGGGGTTTAGGGGTTTAGGGGTTTAGGGGTTAGGGTTTTAGGGTTTAGGGTTTAGGGTTTAGGGGTTTAGGGTTTTAAGGTTTAGGGTTTTAGGGTTTAGGGCTTAGGGTTTGAGACTTGGGATGTTCCCACTCATTCTAGCAGTCCTTAATTGGGATTCTCATAGGGGGTACCAGAATCCCTGTTAAGGACTGCTATTGTACTGGGAACATCCCAAGGCGAGACTGAAGTCTAAGGTTTCGGGCTTTCCTCAAACCCTAAACCCTAAACCCTGAACCCTAAACCCTAAACCCTAAACCCCAAGACGCTCTGTTGAATCCCTAAGCTGGACCCGCGTTTTACGAAGTTTCTTCGACCCCATGCCCGATGTTCTCTCCCCACCCTCCCGGCAAGGGTTCAGGGTTTAGGATTTAGGGGTTAGGGTTTAGTGTTTAGGGTCATGGTACCTAATATTAATATAGTCATCATGAGATCCCACACGCACGTTGTCATGAGGATACATTGACGACTGAAGAAAATTGAGTTCGGCGCCCTCTTCGCAAGCATCAGGGACCCAAAACCCAAAACCCTAAACCCTAAACCCTAATTCCTAAACCCTAAACCCTCAACCCTAAACACCCCCCCCCACCCCCCCCTCCCTCCCCCTCCCCCTTCTGCGGAAGCCAGAAGGCTCACCGCGAGCTGGCAGCCCTTTGCGTTGCCAAGGGCTACGTGTTGCGCTTTGATGGGTGGCCCCGGCAGGGTTCAGGGTTGAGGGCGTCAGGGTGCGAGGGTTTAGGGGGTTTAGGGTTTGGGGTTTGAGGGTCTTGGGTTTAGGGCTTGAGGATGCGAAGGGGTTTAGGGTTTAACACCTTGAGGGTTCAGGGTTCAGGGTTTAGGGCTTCAGGGTATGAGGGCTTTGGTGTTTGAGGGTTTGGCTTCAGCGCTCAGGGACACAGTCAGGGAGGTTCTATCGGTGACTTCGGGGGCTAAGGTTTATGGGTAGTTCCATATGGGCCCTTAATATGGTCCTCAACCTCCTTCAAAGGTTTCTGATGTATGGGCCCTTAATTTGTATAGGGTATACCAGGGTATATAAGGGGTCCCGTTTGAGGGCCCATACTAAGGGACCATGGAAATGCCGTAGATAAGGGCTTGCGCGGGTCAGCATAACAGTCATAATGCCGGAACTGGAAATCATTATTCGGTGCACAGCATCGTCATTGCATCAGGTGTTAATTTCGCGGAGTTAACAAAACCTAAACTGACCTAAACCCTAAAGCCCTAAACCCTAAACCCTAAATCGCGTTTTTTTGTGCTTAGAAAAATTAGGGAAACTCAGATCCTTGACCCTGCCAAGCCCCTGAAGCCTTCTCGGAGCAAAGTGTTGGGGGCCTGTACACGGCTGGCGATCTGTACCTTATAGGGCTTAGGGCTTCGGGTTTGGGGTTCAGGGATAGGGTCAGGGTTCTAGATGCAACTGCCCTGCTTCTCTCTCCAGCCCTACTTATGCAAGTGAACCTTCAAAGAAACATCCTTCTTGGGCAACTTGAGAGCCAACTTCCCTAACAAGAAACCCCCCCCCCCCAAACCCTAAACCCTCAACCCTAAACCCTGAACCCTGGACCCTAAACCCTAAGCCCTAAGCCCTAAACCCTAAACCCTAAACCTCCCCCCCCCCCCCCCCAAAAGAAAAAGATGCCTAAAGCGTTCAGCAGGTTCGAGTCCCTTCCGAATGGGTTTCGCTGCGTCTTCCGTGTGGAGCCTGGGCCTGAGCCGCGAATGCAAGGAAAGGTTTAGGGTTGAGGGTTGAGGGTTTAGGGTTTAGGATTTAGAGTTTAGGGTTTAGGGTTTCAGTGCCCCCTTTTCAGGGTCTGGGCTTTATAGTGCCTTAAGGTCTTAAGGGCTTCGGGTTTATAGTGCCCCCTTATGGGGGGTTTGTAGTGCTCGCTTGTGGGGTCTTAGGGTTTAAAGTGCCCCCTTGCAGTGTTTGGGGTTCTGGGAGCGGTTCAGGCTGCCAGGGAGCTTGCTAGCGCCACTTAGGATCATCTCTAATCTAGGAATATTGATCAGAGGGATATGAGGGGCAATCCTAGCAAGGGTGAGCATGCATGAGTCAGCACTCAGACATCCTCCCATGTCTCGAAGATCTTTCTAACTGCGTAGACGTGGTGCTGTTGGCGGGCGGCCGAATCCAGCATCGACCAAGAGTTTTGTGTGCGTGTTAAGGGTTTAGGGTTTGTTGTAAATCCTTCTCGTTGTCTCAGCTACTTGTAAGATCAGGGACGGGTCAGACACGGACACCCACGTCTGACCGCGGAGAAGGTGGCACTATAGATGTACAGCCAACAGGTTCTAGAGATGTTGGCCTTCCAGAATACAGGAAGTTCGCTTTCTGGTATTTAGCATTAGCATGCTACTACCAGCTGTCCGCAAACGCATGGAAGACGTCAACATTGGGCAAGAGTGCACCCAAAAAAGACTAGTCCGACGATGGATGCCTCTGGAGAAAGAAACTACTACTCTTGTCTTTGCCGGAAGCATCGGCCAAGCTGTTGTGAAGTTTTGTGGCAGTTTGGCTTTGAATCCCTAAATTAATCATATTTCTCAACCCTGAAATTCAAGTTAAACTCAAAGAATCCCTTGCCCGGTTTGTTTTCAATCCTGCTTCTTTCGGGGGGAAATCTGAATTGCAGAAGAGAGCATTAGAGCCTCCGAAGTGACCGTAAGGTTCCGCAGGAACGGCCAAGTCGTCTCGGAGGTGGGCATTACTGGTCTTGGACTGAAACCAACCCTCAAAACCCTGACCTTGCTGCAGAAAGAATCACGCGGTCAATGCATGCGCTGCCGGAGGAAGGGGTGCCGATGTTGTAGATTCTTGCTGTCTGTGGTCTTCACATGGGACATTTTACCTGCCGCCCTCTGCGGAAATTCACGCCAGTCATCGGGGTGAATCGTGGAGACCATAAGCCCGCATCATTTCGCACCTTCAGCTTCCTTAGATTCACCAATTGGAGTGCGGATTGGGATTTAGGATTTAGGATTTAGGATTTAGGATTTAGGATTTAGGATTTAGGATTTAGGATTTAGGATTTAGGATTTAGGATTTAGGATTTAGGATTTAGGATTTAGGGTTTAGGGTTTAGGGTTTAGGGTTTAGGGTTTAGAGCGTTTAGGGTTTGTAGGGTTTAGGGTTCCAAGCGTTGTGTTGGGCAAGGCGTTTCGCTCGAAACGCCGGTGGCCCAGATTCTGGCGCATGAGCTGTAGCCCTGACATACTGTAGAGGTCGGAATAATCACTAGTAGTATTCCCTCAGGGCCCCTAAAACCCTGTTCTAATTATTCAGGCCCCTGTATTGGCCTGACACCACCGGTCCATGCGTCTGAGCCGACCTTACCCAGGGGAACCCTTGTCTCTTTCCCAGCAACACAGCATGTCTTGACATGAAACCTGCACACCTAACTATCTTAAACCCTAAGCCCTAAACTCTAAAAACAAACCTAAACCCTAAACCCTAAACCGTAAACCCTAAACCCTAAACCCTAAACCCTCAACTACCCTGAACCCTAAACCCTAAACCTTCCAAGGACTGGTTTAGGGTTCAGGGTAAGGGGTTGTGGTTTACGGTCTAGGGTTAAGGTCTAGGCTCAGGACATTCGCAGGGAGTAGCAGATGGATCCGTATAGAACATAGGTTTAGGGTTTAGGGTTTGCTTGTCATGACCTTGCAGGGAGTATGCTGCATTTCTTGGGGTTCCCTATGCTAAACCCTCGTTTCGCGTCGAGTTCACGAAGGCAGGGTACGCCCCCAAACCCTGCAAGACCGAAGGCCTTGAATCCCTAAAAACCCTTGAACGCTGTACCGACAGCTCTTTGTGACTGTAAAGACAGGCGGTGTGTCTCCTAGTCCCTTCAGCTTCAAAAACGAGCCTTTAAGTAGGGTGTAGGGTATACTCTGGCATAGTTGGGTAACATTTTACATTTTTAAAGGTACTTAAACCCAATAAGGAATAGCAATTTAAATTTTAATATTGTCTCAACCATGAACGAGTTTAAGTTTACGGCCCACTGTGTTTCAACCCGAAAGTCTGGGCTTGCTCATGGTTTTGAACACTTCGGCGAACACTTCGGTTGCCGGTGTTCAGGGTTGTGGTCTCTAAAGCCCTAAAGCCCTAAAGCCCTAAAGCCCTAAAGCCCTAAAGCCCTAAAGCCCTAAAGCCCTAAAGCCCTAAACCCTAAACCTAAACCCTTGACCCTTGACCCTAAACCCTAAACCTAAACCCTAAACCCTAAACCCTAAACCCTAAACCCTAAACCCTAAACCCTAAACCCTAAACGGCCCTACACTTGTCCTTTATGACCCTGTGCACTTCGGCTCCGGAGCTTCTCTCAGATGCGGTTTTAGGATTGTAGGGTATAGGGTTCAGGGTTCAGGGTTTAGGGTTTAGGGTTTAGGGTTTAGGGTTTAGGGTTTAGGGTTTAGGGTTTCCGGGTTTAGGGTTTCCGGGTTTAGGGTTTCCGGGTTTAGGGTTTAGGGTTTAAGGTTCAGGGTTTAGGGTTCAGGGTTTAGGGTTTAGGGTTCAGGGTTTAGAAGCGTAAGCCGGCTGCAGATCTGAGAGCCGCCCAAATCCGAGGCCCCGCCTTCTTAAAATAACTCCGCCTCAAGAAGCCGATGCTTCTAGGTTGGTTTTTTGGGACATTTTTTTGTTCATTTCCTTATTTGGTGTTTATAAGGGACCCTATATATCAATATTTTTCAGAGGGTTTAAAGGCCAACCTAGTCTTGAGCCATCAACTTCCAGAGCTCCCCGTGTTCGTTTAGGGTTTGTGGGGTTTGTAGGGTTTGTCGGGTTCGCAGGGTTCGCTTGTTTCGTAGGGTTTAGGGCTTAGGGGTTGGGCTATTCGCCGAGGAGTTCACGCAGGCATCCGAGCAGCCCAAAACGATGCTGCCACCGAGGTAGCTGCAAGGATTTAGCAGTTTTTAAAGTGTTCTCTGAGGGTTTAGGGTTCAGGGTTTAATTAGGGTTCAGTAGTTCTTTGACAGTTCTCCGAGGGTTTAGGGTTCAGGGTTCACGGTTTGGAGCTCAGGCTTTAGGGTTTAGGTAGTTCCCTTCATACCAGCCAGGCCCCGCGTGCCCTTTATCCCCTCCCTCTAATCAACATGATGTAAGCCCCATGTAAGGGTACCGCCTGGTAGCTCCCTAAACCGAACCCTGCACCCTAAACCCTAAACCACCCCTAAACCACCCTAAACCATCTTAAACCACCTTAAACCCTAAACCCTAAACCCTAAACCCTAAACCCTAAATCCTATTCTTAATTTTGGAGGTTTGGGGTGCTGAGCCTCCGGCTTGCATCGCACCCGGGGCCTGAACGGCCCAAATCTGCGAAGCCTAAGACGCACAGTCCTAAGCCCCAAGCCCTATGCCCTGTGTGTAGGGTTTAGGGCTTTGGGGTTTAGTTTAGGGTTTAGGGTTTAGGGTTTAGGGTTTGGGGTTTAGGGTTTAGGGTTTAGGGTTTAGGGTTTAGCGTGGATGTGAGGTGGGTTTTATGTCTTTGTTATTTGTGAGTGCTAAAAGCAGGGGTTCCTTCATATGGGTGGGTGTATCTATGGGGTGTCTTCTTGGGGGATACTCGCACGATAAAGACTACTTCATATAGGGGCTTTGGGGTGTAGAGCGTTGCGGCTTAGCTTATGTGAGTTTTGGTGTTTTGGGGCTCTCAAGAGTACGCAGAGTTTTGGCGGTGAAGAGTGCTCAGAATTTAGAATTTGTGTTGATGCCCAGAGTCCTGCATCAAAGGGCTCAACCAGCCCCAAGAACGAACAAGAAAAAAGCCAGCAGCTGGGATGCTCCTGTGGATGTCGGTTTTTCACAAACTCTAAACCCCAAAGCCTTAGACCTAAAGCCTTAAACCCTAGACCCTAAACCCCGAACCCCTAACACCCCTTAACCCTAAACAGTAGGCTTGAGAGGGTGTAGGGTGGGGCTTTCCTTATATGGTGGGAGCCCTCCGGCCTTCACAAGCATGGGGGGTCAGGCTTGTCAAGTTGTTGATTGCTGGCCCAATAAACCTCTAGTCTACTCTCTACTCTACTCTCTACTCTAGTCTCTACTCTACTCTCTACTCTACTCTACTCTATTCTACTCTACTCTCTACTCTACTCTACTCTACTCTACTCTCTGGTAGGCCCTTGTTTCCCCTTTTTTGGGGGGGTGTAGAGTTTGGGATTCAGGGTTTAAGGTTTGGGGGTTTAATAACTAGGACGCAGAGTAGTCCCTTTTTTGGCTTTATGTTTTAGGGTTCAGGTGCCCTCACAAATTAAGAACCCCTTCAAACCAAAAAAAGGCACGCCTGTTATTCCTAGGTTGCTCTTGAATCTAGAACCCGAAACCCTGAATCGTTGCCAAACCCCCCTAAACTCTAAACCCTAGACCCTTCAACCCACAACTTTAAACTCTTAAAGGGTTCACAGCCCCCAAACCCTGAAGCTTCCTCAAGCCTCAGCCCCAAACCCTGAACCTAAACCCCAAACCCTAAACCCTAATCCCCAGAGCCTAAATCCTTAACCCAAAGTTTAAGCCCTGAACCTTTAACGCAAAGCCCTAAACCCCAAACCCTAGATCTTAAACCCCAAGCCCTAAACCCTAAACCCCAAGCCCTAAACTCTAAGCCCCAAACTCAAAACCCTAAACCCCAAACCCTGAACCCTAAACCCCAAGCCCCAAACCTCACACCCTAAACCCCAAACCCTAACCCTAAAACCCAAACCATGAACCCCAAACCCCAAACCCCAAACCATAACCCTAAACCCCAAACCCTAAACCCCAAACCCTAAACCCCAAACCCTAAACCCTAAACATCCCTCGTCGACCGACGGAGTTGTTGCGAGGCCTTGGCGCACCTTCGGGAGGCTGGGCATAGGGTTTCAGGGTTCAGGGTTCAGGGTTCAGGGTTTAGGTTAGGGTTTAGGGTTTAGGGTTGCATGGCGCGGCGACCCCCCCAAACAAACAAATTGGGGGGGGGGGGGGGGGGGGACCGCCCTCAGGGCCTCAAGCCTTTAGGACCTCAAGGCCTGAAGCTTTCGAGCCTTTGAGATTCCTGTCCAGGCCCTCAGGGCCTCAAGCCTTGCTGCGTAAGCCCTTAACCCAAAGCACAAACCCTTAAAAAAACAATCATCCGAAAAAAACCTGTGTATTATAGAGGGTAACCAGACGAGCTTACTAAAGACAGTCTGACCGGCCCGTGCCGCCTTTCTTTATCTGCGAAGCCAGTGAAGTAGTCCATTCAACCGGTCGCCCCAAATCCAAAGTCCCAACAGCCTCATTCCCTCACACCCTCCAAACAATGCCCCTCCGAATAGCCTGAATGTGGCGTTGTCTTCACCTGCGCAGGTGTCGCCTGAGACAGGTGATGGGCACCGGGCGGAGTGATTGAGGAGGATAAAAAGCAGAATCTCTCAAGCCCCAGCCACTCGCCTCTCTGATGCCAGAACCCTACATCCTGTAGACTTGGACCCCACACCGGATCTTCAAAGCAGGCCTAAAACCCTAAAAACCTTTAAAGCTCGTAAACCATTGAGGCTTGCAATGGGGCTATTCCTGCTGAGGGGCGTGGCCCCAAACAACCCTTAACCCTGCATTGTTTCGCAGGGGTCGCCTGCAGTTTAGGGTTTAGGTCTTTAATGGCGTTTAGGGTTTTAGGGATTAGGGCTTGAATTCGGAAACCATCTCATCAACATGCAAGCCGGCGCCAGTACTATGAAAGCCACCACCACGACCACTCGAAAGGGGGATTTAAAAACAGAGGCGTCAGCAGCCACCTATCAAGACGAGACAAGATTGAGTATTCTCGGTGTTGATCTGCATCTGCGGGCAACGGTACCCCTTGTGTGCCCTCGATGTATGAAATTTGCTGTCTAAGGACTCCCTCTGCATAGGCAAACTAGCTGCTACAATTTTCAATTTTCGGCAATGCCGGTGTTCCTGTACCATTCGTTACACGTTATGCCATTGTGTGCACTTAAATTTTAACTCCTGTTTCGGAAGAGCATGCCATTGTCCACGGGGTCTGATGTGAGACGGCAAAAAACGACAACCACCGAAGCCGTCTTAGGGCCAAGGGGAAGACCTAAGCCCGAAACCCGAAACCCCAAAACCCCCCAGACCCGGGAAGCCCCCAGACCCGGGAAGCCCCTAGACCACCAAGCTTGAACCGTTTGGCTCGCAGCAAATCGCTAGCAGTGGCCCCGGTGACCTTGTCAAGGGCGCCCATGTGGCGCATCGCGAAGGCGCCAAAGGGCGCACGCATTCTTTGACCCCTGGATCCTTGTTGGCTTCAATTTTTACATCTTCGTTATGATAAAAACCCAAAAGAGATTAAAAATGATAATTCCTAATGCAACCCCAACAAGGACCCAGTTGTGTTTGGGGGGTACGGGGGCTTTCGGGTTTTTGTTAAGGCCTACTGGGCCTTGGGCTGTTTGAAGGTAGGCAAGAGTTAAATTGGCTTGAGGAGTTCCACGTGAAGTGACATCGTTTCCGAATGTTGCTGGACCCAACTGGCGTGTGGGAACTGTATGTCTCCGTCGCTTGACAAGCCTCTTGACTGGTGAATGCCATAAACCCTTAAACCCCAAATCCCAAAGCCCAAACTCTAAGCCCTGAGAGCCCCAGCCTCGAGCCCTGAAAACCCAAAAGCCTGAACCCTGAACCCTCAACCCAAACCAAACCCCCAAACTTTTTTTTGTTCCGGGGGGGGGGGGAGGTTTCTAAAGCAAACAGTAGTATGAACCAAGGTTCGAACGCCCCATGCTATTCGGGGGTTTCGGGTTTAGTACTGGGAAGGATGCGAAGGTTCGAGCAATGCGCGGGGCTTGGCAGGTGCTGCGGCCTTCACGGCTGCGAGCGTGCTCAGAAGTTCCGCGCACCCCAAGCACAGCGAAGAGAACCTCAGCAATCCCGACCTTAAGCCGTAATCCCGAACCCTAAACCCTAAACCCTAAACCCTAAACTTCAAAACCCCAACTCAAAAGTTCCCAAAGACGAGAGACAAGTCCCCGTGCCTTGAGAGGTTTGACCACCTTGCTGCACGTTGGTCGTCCTCTCTCCTGAGAATGGCGCCCACCAGCCCCAAGGCGGTGGTGTCAGTAGAGGGTTTAGGGTTTTAGGGTTTTAGGGTTTAGGGTTTTAGGGTTTTAGGGTTTTAGGGTTTTAGGGTTTTAGGGTTTTAGGGTTTTAGGGTTTCTAGGGTTTTAGGGTTTTAGGGTTTAGGGTTCTAGGGTTCAGGGTTTGGGGCTTCGGGTTTAGAGTAATAATTTCAGGTGTCCTGGTTGTTTTCGCTGCGCCGGGTATTTTCGGAGGTCCGCCTGCTGGGGTAATGGGTTGACGGCTCTGTCTCTAACCCTAAAACCCCAAAACCCTGAGCTCCCTATATAAACCCAAATAGCCATAAAGCATTTCGTTCCACGACAGCCCATGCCCCTAGCCTCTACAGCCCCAAGACCATGACCCAACCCACCACCCACCCGAATCCATGAAAAACTATGCCCGTGAAGCCCTTCTTGGTACCCTTTACCCTTTTCTTGGGTTATGGGTTCCCTTTATAAAGAGACCAACAAAGAAAAGTTGCCCTCATTACAGTAACCCTAAACCCTAAACCCTAAAGTATGGCTACTGGGCTACTAAGCCTTGTTGCCACACCCCGTCAGGTCTCTCCGGAGGACGGCCTGCGGACGACACCCCAGGCTGGCGGGATCGTCGCCTGGGGCCCGGCTTCAAGGTTATTAGGTTTTAGGGTTTAGGGTTTAGGGTTTGAGGTCTTAGGATTTTGGGGTTTAGGTTTCAAGGTTTAGGGTTTGGAGTTCATACCCTAAACCCTAAACCGCATGGGGTGCCGGGGGGGGGGGGGGGGCATGAAGCACACTGGGCTGTTTTCGTTTCCTTGGAGCCCTACACCGCGGATCACCGTGACTCCCACAGGGTTTAGGCGTTTGGGGCGCCGAAGCGAGACTGAGGCCCTAACAGCCCTAAAGCACCCTCAGGCACCTATTGCCCGAAACCCCTAAAACGCCCCAGGACCCTTGAAAATCTATAAGTAGGGCAATAAGTACAATTCTAACCTTGTTTAGGGTACTTCTGACCTTTACAGTACTTACCAGGAGCCTCCAAGTAGCCCCAAACCCTAAACCCTAAACCCTAAACCCTAAACCCTAAACCCTAAACCCCAAACCCCAAACGCTAAACCCTAAACACTTCAGGCTCCGATGATGCACGTCGGCCACCGACGCTCCTTCCCAGCCTTGTCTCGATCGACGGTGCAGGCTACGCCCTCAACCGGGATTATTTAGGGTTTAGGGTCTGGGGTTTGGGGTTTAGGGTTTGGGGTTTGGGCCTTAGGGTTTGGGGTTTAGGGTTCCCTAAACCGGAGTTGGTGTTCAAAACTGCCTGTCCCCAAAGGCACCGCGAGGGAGGTACCTTTGGAACCCCAAATCCTGAAGCCCTGAACCAGAATCGGCGTTCGAAATACCTGTAACCTGTCCCCGAAGGAACAATAAGTTAGGTTCCCTTCTTAGGAAGGCTTCCACTTGAAGAGGCTCGTTTCCCAATGTATCTGTTCAGAGGACCTCAAGACCCCCCAGTTCTCAGAAAGCCCAAAGCCCAAACCTCTTTGCAGCTCCACGCAGGTTGGGTTTTGAGGTTGAGGATTTCGGGCTTAGGGTTTAGGGCCTAGGGTCCAGTGGTCCAGCACCTGTGACTATCGCAGCCACTTGCTTCCGGCTTTGCATCGCCCTTGTCCTTTTAAGGCCGAAAAAGGCCAGAAATAGCCAGAACATGGGCGGTTTCGACGACTTCCTGAGGGTGGCTGGAGCGACGGTCGTGGACGGGACCAAGCAGGTTCTGGACGTGGCAGGGAAGGTCGGGGAGAAAGTGGGGCAAGAGGTGGAGAGACTTGCCAAAGAAGCAGGGAGAGGAAGCCCCAAGACCATTTTGAAGATGTACGGGAGCTCCGTGCAGATATCTGAGCCTGTTGTTGAGAAGCTGGTCCAAAGAGCCATGTCGCGCAAACACATCACCGAAGGCCAGGCCAGGGACAAGCTCAGAAAGATTTTTGGGAGTTTCGGAACTGCCCGCCGAACTAGCCTCATCAGCGCGAATATTGGAATTGTCCCACTTCCCGTGCTAACTCGGCCTCGTTACCCAGAAGTGGTAATTGCGGACGGGATCACTGTGGAACAAGTTGATGAGATCCCTTTTGAGCTCGTCGATGACATTCGTCCTGACATCAATGATGAGGAGGCTGATGTTCTAATAGACCAAATCTTTGCCGGAGAAGAAGCTGTCAATGTCGAAGGAGCCTCTGCAGCTGCATAGTAGGACTGGGACTAGGGCTGCCACACGCGCAGGCCTTGGATGAAGGCGACAGGCGAACAAAAATTAAGATACATATAAGTATACATTTTTCATACTATCATGCATACATGAATACATACATACATACATACATACATACATACATACATACATACATACATACATACATACATACATACATACATACATACATACATACACACATACATACACATACATACATACATACATACATACATACATACATACATACACTTTTCGCAGAAGGAAATGTACCCAAATGATCGAAGGGCATTTCTTTTCAGGGTTATACAGGTTGCTTCAGCATTTCGGGCTCCGCGGCGTTGAAGATCTTTGCGCCTCGCCTAGTTGCCCCGGTCTTGCCTGCAACGTTCTGAGCCTCCAAGGCACGCTCATCATCGGAGGGGCCTAGACCCTAAACCGAAACCCCGAAGCCCCAAAGGGTCTACTTAGCCCACAACTACTTATCAGAATCCCCCAGCACAAAGCTGCTGGAAACTTTGAAAAAAGTTTCGAACTGCGGTTTAGGGTTTAGGGTAATCAGTTTCACTAGAACCCGAACCCCAGCTAGAATGAGCCACTCACTCTGGAACTCCAAGTATCCCTAAAGCCTAAACCCCCAAACCCCTCAACCCGTAAAGCCTAAACCCGGAGCCTAAGCCCCCACGCCTCCCAATGCCGACACCCCTAAAACCCTGAACCCCCCAACAAAAACCCTATAACCCGAAACACACGGCTACACCTCTTAATCCCAAACCCTTATAAACCCTGAACCCTAGAACCCTAGAACCCTGGAACCCTGGAACCCTAGAGCCCTAGAACCCTAGAACCCTAGAACCCTAGAACCCTAGAACCCTGGAACCCTAGAACCCTAGAACCCTAGAACCCTAGAACCCTAGAACCCTAGAACCCTAAACCCTAGAACCCTAAGCCCTAGAACCCTAAACCCTAAACCCTAAACCCCAAACCCTAAACCCTAAACCCTAAACCCTAAACCCCAATCCTAGAACCATGATGAGGGTTCCAGCATAGGATGGGCT